TTCTTGCTTTCTCGTCTAGGTTGAATCTGTCCGGATCAAATTTATCTGGATCAGGATAAATCGATGGATCCCGATGCAGCCCAAGTATTGGTATTAGAATCGAAGTCCCCTTTGGCAGATGAATATCGGTTGTTGATGATAGCGTTATATCTTTGGTACAAATGCGATTCAACATTGGAAGAGGTGGATATTTTCTCAGAGTCTCTGGAATATGTAAAAGAAAAATAAGAAAATATATCTAATCCAAAATACAAACAATTTATTTAAACTTACATATTATAATATTTTTGTTATTTATTATAAAATACTTACCATCTATTACTTTTTCAACATACTCCATTTCTTTAATAGTCGTGCTGGTGAGACCATCATTATGTTTTGCCAACACTTCGTCAATTTCCTTGTGAACTTTGTCTTGTATATCTGGATTATGCGCCAATTCGTATAAAGCGAATGTTGCCGTCGCCGCGGAGGTTTCGAAGCCAGCGAGGAAAAAGAGAAAACTTTGGGCAATCGCTTCTTTCATGGTAAACTTATTTATGGTTGCTGCAGGTGAATAAAATAATATAGTTTTTGTAATGATCTGTTTCAAGAGAAATCTTAATTATTTGATTTACAAAACTGCAACGTGAGATAACAGACGTAAAATTTTAAGACATATATATAGGGAAACTACGTATATTAATATAATATGTAATATGTAAAAATGTATATTAACATGTTACGTCGGTCTTCTTGTCATCGTCAACATGGCCTTTCTCCATGAGTTGAATGAGCAGATCCATAAAATCTTTTTTTATCACTTTATGAGCTTGCCTATATTCCACAGTCTTTTGAAATATATTTGTGTAGAAGCTTGTAATGCTTCGGTCTGTGAGGGGGATGGAAAAAAAGTCCATAATTTTCGGAATGGATATAGACAGGATGAATCGTATTATTTTTATCCTTAAAATATTCTTTCCTTGAATTTGATACTCATTGTTCGGCTCCTTAATGCAATTGGATTGTATACCAAATGCCGTTGACATGATTACATCAATCGTATATCTGTTGGTCAAATTGGTAACTAATTTTTAGTAACTTTTATCGAAATGTATGAAACATTAAAGATGTTATAAAATTATATAAGAAATAACTTAAATGAATAAAGAAAGATTGATATATGTATAAAAATTAAGTTAAAAGAATTTCATTACGTGAATATATGTTATTTATCCTCTTTTATCCTATAATATTTACACTTTTTGTCTTTAAAACAATATACCTTGCAAACATATCTTTCATTTCAACGGACTCTCTCATCTTTGCTTTGGTCTCCAAAAACTTTGTAAGTTCTTCCCCACATTCCTTCACAATAGCGAACATCTGGTTTATCTTGTACGGAGTGAAAATGGGTGTCATCTTTTTGCGCATATTTTTCCATCTATTTCCATTCATAAAAAACAAATTGTCGTACAATGGGTTGAGTTTTTCATTGAAATGTAACCCACGATCTTGGAAACTTTCAAAGTCCTTTGTCAATACCGTTCGAATAAGGTCGGGATCAGCGATTACCAAGAATGGTTTAAGAAACATATACAATCCAAATGCTTGATGATCCTTATATTTCATGTAGGCATCGTGCAAAAATATACCTGTTTATAAATTTTCCTTTTACATAATTATGCGATATTTTTTAAGTAAAAATACAAATAAAAGAAAGGTGAAAGTTATAATATAATAACGGATCCAGTTTCAATGACCTTGACCTTGACCTTGACATATTTTGTCATGACCCTGAGTAACTATCAAAAGGTTTTAAGCGTCGCTCGTTGTTTATTAAAAGGTTATTAACAAAAGAATTTTCACAAATTACATATAATTTTCTGCATATACCATGTACGTTTCACGTGATGTATTCTTAACTGCTTTACTCATCTATTTATGTATAGTAAATTGAACACTATTAACCTAACCCAAACCAATTGTTATATGGGTAGGTCAGATTTTTCAAATCTCACTTATTTATAACTCAGTGGTAAGGGAAGTAATTTACTGAATGACCGTGTGTAGACAGTACACAGTACACATGTAAGAGCTACCGTCTCTCTCTCACAAGCAAGAGTGAGTGGGGGTGGACCTCGGTTTACGTGAAAAATTGAAAACCTGAACCGTACAATGATAAACCTGGTTTTGTCCTATATGAAAACTGGGATAAGGTGGGGTGAACTTTGCTTCGATCCACCATATCCTACCTCTGCTTACAGGGCGAAACAGGTCATTGGGGCTGAGTCCATTATTGTGCACTTTTACCAAAAAATAGTCTATTACAATACCATTATCTATGTTAATATGTATTATGAAAGATAATAGGGGTACTCGCCTATTTGCATTTTGCCGGTTATGACGGGTGTCATATTTCCTATCGGTATGACAGGTATAGGACAAAAAACACTCCTATTGCGCCAGAAGTTAAATTTTACATGTTTGCAATATATGTAGAAAA